GGGGGGGGGGGGGGGGGTTGATGAAGCAATTTGCTGCTAAGAAGAATTACGGTTAGCTAGCCAACGTCGCTGCTGCTCTGCTCGCAGGCGCTGCAGCTCTTCATCGTTCAGCTGCTGCTGCTGCTGCCGCTGCTGCTGCGGCCGATGCTGCGGCTGTTGCTGTGCTTGCTGATGCTGCATGATTTGCTGTTGCTGCTGCACCTTTTCCTGCACCTGCTGTTGCTGTTGTTGCTGCTGTTGCTGTTGTTGCTGCTGCGGTTGCTGCTGCAGCTGCTGCTGCAGCTGTTGCTGCTGCTGTAAGATCCAGGTCGCGGGAAGCGCAGCTTCGAGGGGAGGGGGTGCAGCAGCAGCAGCAACAGCAGCAGCAGCAGCAGATGAATAAGGGTGAGCAGCAGCTGCTGCTGCAGCAGGACCAACGCCCAACGCCTGCCACGAAACCACCGGCGCAGCAGCAGCAGCAGCTGCTGCTGCTGCTGCAGGAGGTGCAGCAGCAGCACCAATCCAAGCAGGGTTGCTGGAGACCCCTGGTAATGCACCGAGCAAAGAAGCCTGCTGCAGCAGCTGCTGCTGCAGCAGCTGCTGGCTAAAGAGTTGCTGCTGCAGCAACTGCTGATGCTGCTGATGCAGCATAAGCTGCTGCTGCTGCAGCTGCTGTGGAGTTAAGACTGTAGATGCTTGCTGCTGCGGTGAAGCAGCACCTCCTAGTTCCTGCTGCTGTTGCTGCTGCTGCACCATTTGCGGCGCACCTGCAACAGCAGCAGCTGCAGCAGCAGCAGCAAGACGCGCTTGCTGCAGCTGCACAATCTGGGCCTCGACAATCCATAGCGCAGACTGCAGCCGATAAGCCTCGCACTGAGCAGCAGCAGCAGCAGCAGCAATGCATGCACATGAATATGTAGGAGCAGCAGATGCAGAAGCAGCAGCAACAACATATGCGCATAAATATGCAGCAGCAGCAGGAGCAGCAGCAGAAGCAACAGCAGCAGCATATAAGCATGAGTATGCAGCAGCGGCAGCAGCAGCAGCAGAGGCAACAGCAGCAGCACATAAACATGAATAGGCAGCAGCAGCAGCAGCATAAGTACATAAATATACACCAGAGACCGCAGCAAGTGCAGCAGCAGAAACCACAGCAGCAGCAGCAACAGCAGCAGGGCAAAGCAGAGAGTCCCTCCCGCAACGCATGCAGCCCCAAAATAAATAAGACGACAGGCAAGCAAGGAGACACCAGAGAGAGCACCAAGAGAGACAAAGTGCAGCAGCAGAAAAAAGAGACAAAGTGCAGCAGCAGCAGCAGCAACAGCAGCAGCAGCAGCAGCAGCAGCAGCAAACTGACGAAGTAAAGGGAGGAGCGAAGCGCAGCCAGAAGCCCCTCTGTCTGCTGCTCCCGCTGCTCTTGACGTTCACCCCAGCTTCCGTATCCTTGCTGCGCGTTGCTGCTGCTGCTGCTGCTGCTGCTGCTGCTGGGGGTTGTTTCTGCAGCAGCAGCAGCAGAGGGAGGCCTCCGCCTCGCTCCTAAAGCCTGCTCTGAGAAGAGAGAGAAAGCACCAAATAAATTGCTGCTGCTGCTGCGGCTTGTAGCAGAATTGGGGCGTGACGCGTTGCTGCTGCTGCTGCTGCTGCTGCTGCTGCTGCTGCCGCTGCTGCTGCCTGCTTGGCGGCTGCTGTCTCTCTGTGAAGCCGATCCAGAACCTTCCACCCCTGCTGCAGAAGCAGCAGCAGGTGACCCTGCTGCTGCAGCTGCTGCTGCATCACCTGCTTGCTGCTGCTGCTGCTGCTGCTGCGCTGCTGCTGCAGGTCTGGGTGGCTCTACAGGAATATCAGCACGACAGGTCGGGCAAGACTGCTGCTGCACCAACCAAGCCCTGAACAAAAACAAACAAAAACACTCAAGCTGCTGCTGCTGCTGCTGTTGCTGTTGCTGTTGCTGTTGCAGTGTATGTATTGTGAGGCTGGGGCGCATGCAGACTTAGATGAGGGTGTATATGCGCAGGTATTTGGGGTGTATAGGGAGCTAACTGCTGCATAAATATATCTAACTGAGGCATAAATGTATATAATTGGGGTGTATAGGGAGCTAATTAGGGTGTATATGGAGGTAATTGAGAGATAAATGTACATAATTAGGGTGTATAGGGAGGTAACTGAGAGATAAATGTACATAATT